AGTTGATGATTAATATAAAGACTTCTCTGAATGGTACGGTTAGCTGACTTCGCAAGTCAAAAGTTATAAGTCTATAAATAGTTATAATCAGCTATTTTAGACAACTCTACTTGACGGTGATATATCTCGTGGACACACTATTACGGTGATAGTATAGATATTTGTATGACTATAAAGTATTTATTAAGAATAAAATTAGAGTTTAAAGTTAATTATTTATAACTATAGAAAAATATCATTCTTTTTATGATAAATTAAAATAAAAAGTATATTACATAAATTGGGACAAAAAGAGTACTTATAAATGAATAAAACATTTATCGCACAAACAATAAATGTTTAGCATAGTACTCTGGATTACCTCCTCTAATAGACATAGTACTCTGGATTTTAAATTAATTGGCCAGTGTATAATTTGTGAATACTTTCCTAAGGTAATAAAAGGAACTTTTTCCTATTGATACAAAACAAGGATAATATTTACTCGTTTTAGCTAGGTTTTCTTATTTACAAATTGTAAAATATTAGTAGCAACTATTGAATATACCATGCTATGGTGGAAATTACACCTCTAAAAAGTCATCTAAAGCAAAAAAGTAAGACTTCTTTGTAATAGTATCGCTATAACACAATCACTCACTATAAACGTCAAGTATTTTATGAACTAATTTTTATGCTATGTTATAATATATGTTCTTTTTAACAGATTTCGCTATAACATCTAAGAAAATGCGGCACAAATAAGGTTGTTATAATACAAAATATATCGCTGGAACTAGGGGTGTACATAAATCGGGTTGGTTCGGGTTTTATCAAAACCAAACCAAACCAACTATATCGGTTTGGATTGGTTCGATTTTGTCGAATTTTTTGTTACTTAAATATTATTTCAATATTACTTTGTTAAATATTTGATAAGTAAATATATATTAAGTAATAATATAAAAAATTGACAAACATATTATCGATTAAAATATTCTTATGGGAGAATTCTATTAGTAACACATACTCTCTCCATTTTAATTTATGTGAACTCATTTGACTGGGCACATGGTTTAAGAAAAGAGAGAAGACTTTTGAACTTGTGGTGTAAAATGAGTCACATATATTTTGTGTGGCTATAAATCATTGCATAAAGGTAAATTGTTTCCAAATAAGGAAAGAGGTCATTCTTTTTGGCACGGACTAAAAAGGAAATAGGTTCACATAAATTGAAACGGAGGGAATAATAGTTATTTTTTTAGTCATCTGACAATAATTTTTCGTTGATGTACACTTTCAGGTTAACCGAATTTAGTAATTAAACATAAAAATTAATATGATACCTAAATATTAATAATCACTTCACATTCGAAAAAGATATAAGAATTTAATAGATCTTAACATATGATATGAATATGGAAGAACAAAGATACAAACGTATTTCAGTAACACTTGATAAGAAAGTGATCATACAACCCATTATTTAAGGTCAATAAATATGGAGCACTTCATATTCTATTAAAATTTATATCCCGCAAAAGAATCTCAAATATTTCTAGACATTTTTTAAAGAAAATTCCATATAAAATCTTAAAATTATATATAAAAATTATATATTTATATGTCGGATTGGTTCGGATTTTTTTACTCAATACCAAACCAAACCAAGTCGGGTTTTTTTAATCGGTTTGGTTTGACTTTTCGGTTTTGTGTGATTTTTTGGTTCGGTTTGTACACTCATAGCTGGAACCTAGTCATCTAGGCACACTTGTGAGATGAGTTAATTTAAACGGAGCAATATAAGCAGTAAGAATACATATAGCCGACCCCAACTCAGTTAAAATTTAAACATAATTATTGTTTTAGTAAGGGGGGAGGATAACTCTGTGTATGTGAACACTATAAAGATGAGCAAAATTTGAAATAAGAAGAAGAGTTGCAGTAAACTGACTATCAACATAAAAAAGATTTAACTATTGTGAATCATTTGAATAGATGTTGATAAAGTCAATGTCAGCCAACTAATTTAATGAGGAGCAAAGAACAGAATATGGAATTTGAAAAAAGCATTTTTTTTTTTTTTAAAAAAAAAGTATTTTTGGCCTTTGGCTAAACAGGCTATTAATTCTTAGTAAGTTAAGTAGGATATATGAATCTTTATTGTTCATATAGTTTCGTTTAAGTGAGCTATCTCAGTCCTACATTATACAAAATAAAATTAATATAAAAAGCTATATGCATATGAAATTTGACATGACTAAAAGACTCTTAGACGAGTTGTCTCGAACACTACCGATATCAATATAAAAAGAAGAAGATGATGAAGTTTCCTTACCGATTTAGTGTCTTGCCTCCAGTATATCAGTATTTTTATTTAACAACGCTATGCTTTAGGTGCATGTCACAAGTTCAAAATTCTTTAGCAGCCTGATATTTAAGTAATACAGAGCACCAGCTGGCCCTAGGGATTCTCAATCACCAAAAAAACTACAATATAGCTATATTGTGGGATGGGGTGGGGAGATATCATACAAATTGATGCATAGATACAAATGGTTCCAATAATTTCATCGAACATTTGGAACAGTACGTCTCGTCTCGGAGCAGAAGAGACGTTTACATTGCAGCTTAATATCAATCAAACATTTCAAAAATATCTCTCTCTCTCTCTCACACACGTGTGTTGCACGTGTATCCCGAGAAGGGACAGATCCAGGGTTATGGTATCGGATTCACGTAAGACGTTGAGCATAATTTATGTGTGAAAATCCACTAAAATTGTAACAAATAGTAATATGAACCCGTAACTTTTAAAACACAATAGGTTCAATTAAACAAACAAACAACAACAATAATCTAGTGTAATCAACAAGTGAATGGATTCAATGCTAAAATCTTAAAGATTGAAACCCATAGAATTTAAATCTTGGATCCGCCTTTCATCTCAAGCTATTTAGTACAAAATATTTAAAAACACGTGAGTAATTTAGTACAAAACTTTAAGAAAACCATGAGTCATTTAGTACAATGTTTTTTTAAAAAACCATCATATAAGATTATTAAAATATGTTTTTGAGCAATAAAATAAAAACTAAAGAATAATATATAAATTCACATTATAAAAATCATATAATATGATCCTTGATTAGTGATTTAGTAGTTGAGGTTAAAAATGATTGGATGCCATTAGTTCGTATGAATATGAAGAACTAAACTATTTAGACGTATATGTTATTGTATAATTGATTTGACACGTGTGCTCCGAAAAAAAAATATTATATGGAAAATAAAAAACTTAATTATTCTAAAAAGAAATTATTTAAGTTATGAAAATATTAGCTTCCTTGGCTTCTTGCTTGTCGTGAAAGGCAATAATTTCAAACAACATGCTCTTCGTATATATGCTATTTATAACGAAAGAAATATTCAAAAGGATAATAAATAATCATACATGAAAAACGCAAGCTTATGCACTTCATCAGATCATCAGATTCTTTGTTAAGTATACACCAGAAACTCAATAAAATTAATATACATGGCATAGTCCTCACTCCTCAACTACACACTCCGTCAAACTGTTCATGCTTCTTTGATACTTGGGAATATTAAAAAGTACAAAAAAATATAGTATAAAAAAACTATTCAAGAACACCACAGAACTGTTCCAACAAGAAATCAAATATTTGCATTCTAAATAAATCATAGGAGTACTTAAGAATTTTCGTGTTCTAATGTCTTAAAACGTGCATGTATGAGATATGTGAATAGTGAGGTAATGGAGTACAAATTTAAGAATATTATCCTATTTAGATCTTGCTCAATATTTTTATTACATATACATATAGTTCAGTTAATTGTACAACAACTGAAGGGGTTAACATGTAGCCAATAAGTGTGACTTTTTAAATATCATGATCTTATTTTCCAAGAGATGCTATCAAGAGCTTGGATCTTGTTACAGAGATGAATTTTATCCATAAAATAAATAAAAATTAATTTAAGTTATTTTTTCAACAAATATTTTGATCTTTTATCGAGGTAAATAATCGGACAAACAAAGTCCGTGTGCATAAAAATACCATGAGGCCATCGGTTTATACAACACTTCAGCCCCTTATTAGGAAGGTGGATATACAGTACTCACTGCACAAAAACATATATCACACACATAAAATAACGCTATTAAGGCATTAATATGAGAATCAACACTATAAAAAAGAGGGAAAATAACATATAAAGTGAAATAGATGGGTCAAGGATTAGGAATAAAGAGAAAAAAATGAACCCAACTTTTGCCAACTAACTCATAACAAATCTCTCTGACTTCAGTGCATTATCAGCGTTAGGTCCTAAATAGTCGTAGGAATGACTGTTCAAATACTACGCATTTTACTTTGCATATGAACCTGGTCTATAATTGAGATTTAATGTAACTTTTCAACTATAGACCAAAGAGAAAGAGAGACAAAAAGGTAAAGTTACCGAGTAGGAATCGATTGGAATGAAGCCCAACGTTCATAGTCGAAGCCAGATTGTAGATGGTATGTTAGAAAAACTGATAAATAAGTAAATTGAGGAGTGGAAAAGCTGATATTCATGAATTTGTAATTACTGTTAGAAGGTGAAAGAGTTAATTATTCAATGCACATTTTAAAGACTGATATTAATCGATAGTGGAAGATAAAAGTTATTCTAAATTTAATAGATTACAATAAATGACATTAACTTTAGAAACATATTTGTCAATTTTTAAAATCAAAACAATCTGTTCACATTTTATATTTAATATACGTACTATACATTTATTATATAGTGAAATGTAAATTTGATGGACATTTTCATATTTCAACTTTAGACTTAGTAGTCCTATTTAATTAATTAGATTTTAATTTAGTGTAGGGGTAAAATGGCAATCTAACTTTGGAACTTTTAGCATGATTGGCCATACCTTAGTAACCTGATACAACACACTTGTGTATCATCAGATCCCATGAGTTGCATAATTCTTGGTCCTGACATTTAACACATTTGTAACTCTCCTCTTGCAAGAAATTCAATAAGTCACATCTTTATATATCATTGATCATTACAATGACTAAAGAAAATTGCGTGCACAATTGTATTGCATTATGCAAGTGTACATAACCATGAGGGCGGACCTCGCTAGGAACGAACCAGCGATATTTAGCAAAACCTTGATTTGGACTAAGTTTGCTATATGATCCCGGAAACTCTGAGAGATGATAGCACAACAAATATGAGCCATAAAAACATGAAAAATATGCAAGTTACCCATGCCCAAACTTTTGGCCCGCCAAGCTCAGCACCGAGAGTAAGCCGCCTAAACACCAAAACACCGATACATGCTACGGAAGTGGAGAAGAAAACAAGCAAAGAGAAACTTAGTCCTTCTGCATTCTCTATTCGTAGTGGCTCCTTGTATGCAATGTAGTTGTACAATGTGTCGATGAACCAGGGTACACCGATGCCTATATAGATGTTCACCGAATTGCTACAAGGAAGAACGTATGAACGTAAGTCAGACACCAGGATATCTAGTTTCAAGGAATGACAATGTCAAATTCACATTTTCTATAAATTATGAGAGATTAAACTAAGTTAATCACAAAAGTGCATCTTAAATGAATAACAATGTTTTGGCTAACTACTACGTTTAGGAGTCGTTTGGTGCACATGTTAGTTAAGACAGGATTATGATGCAGGGATTGTTTATGTGGTGGAATACTAATGCAGGGGTTGTTTATCTTTATGCGGTGAATAATAATACTGGATAGTTATATGGGGAATAATAATTCAAGGATTGTTATGAAGTGAATAATAATACATGATATTTATGTAGGGATTACTTACTCCAAGGTCATTTTTGTCTTTAAATGCTTTTATCCCCGAATAGCTAATACACGTATTCTTTATTCCATATTTCATTCTGCATAAAATAATATATATAGATTATCACATAACTTAATGCAGGCATCGTTTAATACCCGCCTACCTGACACTACATAAAGTTATGCCAGAATTATATTTTCTTATACGGCCAACCAAACGTTGCATTAGCTATAGGGAGATTATTTTTTTCTAATCCCTCCAACCAAAAATTGCATTTATTTTATGCGAAATTTTATGCTGGAACTATTTTCCAAATCCCTCCAACCAAAAAGACCCTTTAGTCTTTTACCTAGCTAACAGGGGCAAAATTAAACTTGATGAAATTCTAAACCACCTAAAAGGGAAAAATAAAATTGGAAAACAAAGAAAGCAATTTGCCAAATCTCTATGGGTGGCATGCCTTCTAGTTAATTTAAGTACGTAACAGGTAAAGGGCATAATTAGCTGACGAAGAAACCTGCAGGTAATGTTAGCAATGGCAGAGTCGGCTGTAAGCTGCCGTTCTGCAGCAATTTTGCTGGCCACGAGATCAGGCCATGAGGTTCCACCTGCCAAAGCTGTGAATGCAATGACGTACGGATTTATTCCTGCAGTTACATTGTGTACAATATATATTCTTAGGTCAGAGCAAAGCATATAGGCAGAAGAACATTTATGATCATTGAAAAAGCACTTAATCTAAAGGAAGGGTGAAACCTGTAACACAGCTTATCAAATCAGTGAGCTTTGTCACGACATAAGCTATTCCGCTGATGAATATCAACGAGCATATGAAAGCAATCCACCCGTGGGCAATATGATATGGTGGCACAAACGCAAAAAGAAGCTTCCACGGTAGAAGAAGTGACTGCCAGAAAATTCTTGCGAGACGTAGGTATATATTATTCAATTTTCTGGATTCCACACTCTCCAACTGTAAAGATTTTTAAACAAGCCCATTAACCTACCATTCACCTCATTTTTCCTAAAATAGGGACGGGGATAAAAATAACATAGAAGCCCCCAAACAAAAGAAAGAAAGAAAAAGAAAAGAAAAAAGAGAAGGAAAGAAACCTCAGCTGGGGTAGGGAACACATAGTATGGCGTAATAAATCCTTAACTTTTGCATCTTCTTCATATGCATGGAGTTTTAGGCCTGGATTCAGTTTTGGAGGCCACATGTACCAGTTATTTGAGATTCAATTAAAGATTTTGCTTATAATGCAGCGACATAATTACGGTCTCTCAAAGAGGTTTAATTTTTTTTTCTTTTTTCCTTTTTTTTTTTTATTAATAATGGTGTTCGGGATAGGTTCCGCACACCTCGACTGTTCCAATAGGTACCTGTTACCTCCTACTAGTAGAGGTACCGGGTAACTCTGCTCACGAAACTGGTTAAACTAGGACATGCACATAGTAAAATGGAGTAATTATCCACTCCACATTTAGCAAAAGAGTGTCGGTAACTATAGAAAGCGACAATTGTTTATACTGTAACACATACACATGACCGTTTGTGTCAGAATAGTATTTCAGCCACTGCGACATCAAATAAAGAAACATAATAAGACAGTATAAGAAAACAGTACCATGAGAGCATCCACAAATTGATGCTTCCAAATTGAGAGGAGATCAGATTCTTCAGGAATGATATTGCCATTACGGGGCGTGGACGATTCAGTGACATCTTCACCAGCTAAGTTTTGATAAAAATGAGCTGTTGTTACAGAAGAATTGTCAGAACAAAATTAACTACAAAAAGATCATATAACTTCTCTCAGTGTTTCAAATTGATTACCATCAATACTCTTATACCTGCATGTGTTGTGTAAATACCCAGAACTTTTAGTACTCCCTCCGTCCTAATTTATGTGGCACCATTTGACTGGGCACGGAGTTTAAGAAAAAAAAGGAAGACTTTTAAAACTTGTGGTCTAGAACAAGCCTTAAACATTTGTACGGCTATAAATCATCTTATTAAGGGTAAAATTGGAACTTTAAAATTAAATTATTTCTAAAAATAGAAAGGTGAAATTCTTTTTGGGACAGACTAAAAAGAAAAGAGTGCCTCATAATTCGGGACAGAGGGAGTATCTATTATAAGTCAAATTGTATCACATAACCGGGAAGAATCGGATATCCAAGGTAAAACAAAGCATCTCTTTCTTGAAATTACCTGTCCCTTCTCCTGAATGAATGGAAAAAATATCAACAATTCCGCTACTTTCTTCTTCACCAACTTGAGATACTTCAGAGTGTGGATCATGAACCTTGTCAAGAGGCCTATATTTAGCAGCCTCCGCAGGCACCCACTCCTCTGGCCTCTCGGCTCTTTCTCTAAATAGTTGAAAGTATACACAACACACAAATTTAGGTCATTTTCCCATATGAGAAAATAAAAACAAGCTGAAACAAAAATCAATTAGAGAATTGGCACAATACAAAATTTATGATAATAAACATAAGACATACATAGGAAGGGATAAATAGGGCCAACGCTTGTCCTGTGCATACGCATGAATCAGCAATAGCCCAAATTGCAACACTGTTAAGATAGACTCCCACAAAGTTATAACATTTGGACTCCAGACCTACAAAATCAAATTATATTCATGAACAGGACGGCGTTAACGGAATCCTTGTATTGATGTGAATAGATGAAAGAGGACTAAGACATTTACATTTACATTTTTGCACCATGCACATTTCATCAATAAGATAAATCTGATAGCTCAAATTAAAACACTGGAAAATAGACTTCCCATAAAGTTACAAAATCTCTGAACTTCACATAAACTACTGGTGAATTTTAACGATATGGAAAATTTTTAGCAGATACCTCTAAAATTATATACAGCCAGATATAGGCCCAAAAAGACCAAAAGAGCTCTACAAGCCAGACTCCAATATCTGATATCTTCTTCAATTCTCCAGCTTTAGGAACCACCACGCAAACGGCATGTATCGGAAATAGATCAAACGCAGCAGAGCCGACAAGTGTTCCCGGACCTAAACCTGGCCAAGTCAAATTGTGTATTAGCAAGGCAACTGATGCCCAAGATTCAGTCAATTTTCTGGTTAGCTAGTAGAAGTGATACACTATATGTAAATGCTTCAACAACAATAAAACATGAAATTTAGTACTTTAACAGTTTTAAACTATTCAAGCTATGAACAAGCTTTTCCAACGGAAGTCAGATTCTCACATTCTATCTTCTCAATAGAGAAAAGAAAAAAAGGAAACGATATAGCACGAAACTATATATAATATTGGCCATAGCACAAAGTATATTGACCTATTAACATTTTTTAAATGAATATTAACCGATTAACTCTTGATTTCATAATTAACATCTCAGCATGTCTTAAGCAGAGGTGGAGGCACGATTTAAACTTTATGGGTTCTGAAGTGCCACCGAACACCTAACTCGTCCTAGTTACTAGGTTCGCAATTAAATATTTATACATATCTAATAATATAAATACTATGAGTAAGAGAGGAATGTGAAAGTTTGATGCCATGCTTTCCTACGTCCGTATTATGAATAAGAGAAAAATTATAACACAAACTAAGTATTCTGAATGCAGAATAGGAAATCCAGAACAAACCTCCAGCATATAAATTTCCAATATTTCGTATTGCATCAATTGTAGCTAAAGATATCTGTGGAAAGCTAGTCCCAAATGCCAGTAGAGTGATGTCTGCAATTGTGTAATTCCACACCTTTTCATCTTTGACGATTTTCGTGCCTCTGCGAGGGTCTAGCGTCTCTACAGTTCGACTATGCTTAACAACACTTTCCATTGACCGGAAAAACCGAGCAGTTATAGCTGACAATCCGACAAAACAATAGGCAAGACCCAAAAAGTACAAGAAAGCCCGAAAGCCTTTGCCTAAAAAAGTTTCTAAATGGAAAAGTAAATAGGCATCACATTTTTCATGCCCAAATATATTTGAATGTCCATTTGTGCTGTCGGTGGTGTAGTTACCCAGCGACGGCATCTCGACAAATATTTTCTATTCACAGTTCAAGCCCCAGAAGAATTATTCTCCCCAGCGGATGCAAGAGACCTGTCATTTATGCAACAATTGTTGATAAGCTATTAAAGTCAAGAGACAGTCCTAAAACAGTTCTCATATACAAAAAGATTCCCGAGAGTTTCTTTAGCACTTCAGGCGACAGAAACCTGTGCACAGAAAGTCAGTACACAAGGGGAGAGATGTAGCCCAAATATTTGCATCATTAAATATTAATAATATGAAATAAAGCATGTGCAAGTACGGAAGAAGGAAGTCATCAGACCATGCAGATCAATTTCCAAGTTAATTGTATAAGAGTAAATACTTTGGCACCAACAGAGACAAGCATGAGATTGCCTTCCTTGGCATTTTACTAGCCAATTCAAGTGTATGATGAATTAAGATATTGTGAAGGAAAGAAGTAACAACAACTACAACATACCCAGTGAAATCCCACAAGTGGGGTATGGGGAGGGTAGTGTGTACGCAGACCTTACCCCTACCTCGTGAAGATAGAGAGGTTGTTTCTGATAGACCCTCGGCTCAAGAAAAGCTGTGAAGGAAAGAAGCACGAGATAGAATTTGAATCTTAGAAGGGGTTTTGAGACAAATTACACTAGTAGCTTTTTCTGAAAAGAAGCTTGCGAGTTTAGATATGGGCTGATCTCGAGCGATTTGATTACAGGATCACATGGCATAACTTTAGCATTTACTGATGAAAGTTTCTATTCTTCTAACCCAAAAAGTGAAGTAGAGTGCCAAGATTAGCCTTAACTATTACTCCTAAGATACTGGTTGTCGAGTAAGAGTACATATAGTACAAGAATTAGGGTATCATCATAAATATCTCTCTCTCTCTACTAGATGCACACACTTTGCACACGCATTCTCAGTTCTATTCTCTAACCCCTGCTATTTGTTGGAACCATTAGGAATGCAAGTGACATGCAAATAACTTTAGTGAAGCAAAACACTCCAATAAAAGGAGTTAGAGATGATCCGAAGGAGGAGAAAAGAAAACCATGACATTTAATCAGCGCCATTTATCATTTGTACTTCATCCCCATAATCTCGCCTTTAATTTTTCTATCAACAAAAAAATTCTGCTATGCATTATCCTTCCTAATTCTACAGAAAACTTGCTAGTAATTAAACACTAAGAAATTAGACAATCCCAATTTGCAACTACACTGGGTCTGAGCTAAAGTTACTCACTCAACTTTGTATATGTGTTAAAAAATCACTAAAAAGTACAGGAAATAGATTTCGAACCCAGTAAATCAAATGGGTTGTGGTAGAATTCCAAACTTGAACCATAGTGTTCAAATCTTGGATCCAACTCGACTATTACGACTAATGCAATACAAAACTAAAGTGCTGCAAGAACTATGTTGTTAACTTTGTTCACTAATCACTCCAATTATACTCTCTCCTATCCACATATATGCCAAATTACTATAAACTTCTTCCACATTGAATAAAAATTGAGTCTTTACACAGAATAAATAAAAAATTAAAAAAAAATTATGACACACCAGAATGGGAATTCATTTATATGGACTGTAATAAACAAGAGCGTGGTCACCAAACAGGGGGGGAAAAGTACTTTCTTTATATCAGAAATTGCAATTATCAAGAATTAGGTAGACTTGAGCTATTAACCATTGGCCAAAGCTAAATTACTTCAATGATTAATAGACATCCTAAGATAAATTCAGCTTCAATACACATTTGGGAAGTCATATAGCTAAAAAAGAAGCAATTTTTGTACTCAAGATTCTAATTTCAAAAGCACAAAAAAGGGAAAGAAAAACAAATAAACAGCAAAATAAGCACTCAGCAGTAATTCCAAGATTGTTGGAACACAAGAAAACAAAAAGGGTAAGAGAAAAACAAAAAATCTGAATCGACAATAGATCTTACAAAGATTTGCAAATGGGTTGCTGGGAAACTTACTGTATATAAATGGCATTTTGCTCCATTTTGGACCGTCTCTTAATTGGGGTCTTGATAACGAAGGAGTAATTAGGGACTCAAAAAGAGATGTGTAGACAAATGTGGTGGCAATTATACAGGGATAATACATAAAAAAAACCATTGAGGTTGTCTCACTTTACCCAATTGCACCCTAAACTTTACACGAGTCTATGACCACTTGTGTTTGTTTGAACCGTAATAAATACCAATTGCGCACCACTTTCACCAAAATAATATATTACACGCACCAATCATATTTTGACACGTATTTTTCTTATTTAAACTATTTATATTTTCTTTTTATTCATTATTTATTTTAAAATTATCTTTTTTTTTCATCTTTTTTTTTCCTTCTTTTTCGTCACATTGCCACAGCAAGCCATTTTCTTTTCTCACCTTCACCCCTCCAAGTCGCTTATACTCAATTTTTCCTTTAAATTTCTTACACGCGTAGTGGCGAACATAAAAATTTTTGTAAGTGGTGTCACATTTTGTAATAAATGAACAAATGAATAACTATAATGACATCATATTTATTATTAAAAAAACAAAATTCAAAACATTACTATAAATCTCTGTAATAAGTTTTTATTTTCTTAAATCTATTAATGATAGTCTCATTAGAAATACTAGTACCAAGTATGTCTTTTTTCAAGAATGATTTGAGTATATTTATTGTCAACTTGACTAACAAATAAATTCTTACTCAAGTGACTTTTGTTGTTGCTTAATTTTGTTAGAGGTCAGTGGTTCAAGCCTCACTAATACATAATATATTTTAATTCTTCTTTAATAAATAATTAACCAGTTGAGCAACAAGCTATTTTATTTCAAGTGGTGTCATATTATTTTCTATGTATTATCTGGTTTTGCGTATGTTTATGTATGCATTTAATAAATCTTTTCAAATCGCTTCCCATAAGACGAGTTTCACGTGATTTAATGTACCAATTTTTGAATAATTCATCCATATTTCTAATTAGAAAAGCTTTACAAAAGTCACCAGAGAGATGGCAGACGAATTTTCAGTTTCGAACTTTAAAAATAGGTATCACAATCTCTTTCGATAATTTATGTTCATTTCTTCAAAACCGAGCAACTAAATTTTCGTTCCTCACCTTCAATCCTTTTCATAATCAAGGATATTGAACAATAACTTGATAATAATCTCAAACAAAGACTAATGGAGGTATAGCCTTCTAAGAAGAAGAAAACAAAAAATGAAAGCAGAACGTGGGTGCAAAGGAAAAAGAAAAAGGAAAGGAAAAAATAGAAAAATAGAGAAATAAACATAATTGGGGCAATTATTTACTTCTCACACGCTATTATTGAATTTATTACACTTTAAACAAATATAAGGGGTCATAGGACCCCCGCAAAATTTAAGGGTGCAATTGAAAAAGTAAAACAATCCCCGATAATTATGTATTATCCCAATGATATACGAGAAAAAGACGTGCATGGAATGAACGGTGACCTGATTTGTTCAACATAAGTAGGGGTCATGTGAAACACGCCAAAGACAAGATCTACGTCAATGTAATAAAATCCACTCTAGACTTCTATTTTATGGTAATTTTATTAACAACTAGTTATACATTGATTGTAGTTGGTAAATTTAATATAACATACTCTTGAGTAAATTATTGGTGATTTGCACAAATAGGATCATTTGGTGACACTGTCTAAATTTTGATCTCGATAAGAAAAGTCTTGAAAAAATAATTTTCAAATAGAATTTTGAAGTATGCTGGTCAGAATTTTATGAGCAAGTCTTATGATGATTCGACAGAATTTTGAACGGCCTTTTTTTTTTACAATTTGCCACAAAATTGACCGGCTATTGCATTGTAGCTGAATATTCATGTAATCGTCAGTATTCAAATTCTGACCAGCATTCTTGGTGTTTTAAAATTTTGACCAGCATTCTTTAAAATTCTGACCAACATACTTTAGAATTCTGACGCAGGGCTATTTTTCAAAACTTTTTTTAATTGGGTGAAAATATAAACATTGATTTTAAATAAGTACATCTAATGTAATTTCACCGTTTGAAATTTGATGGGTTCAATGATAAATAGCATAATATAATTTTGTGATTTTTCACTTATATATTGATGTTCCAAATCAAAACAATTGAATTCATAGGAGAAAAGGTTTGAAATAGGTCTCTAAGTTTTAGCTTTGTTCAATAATCTTTGTATTCAGCTTTCTAATTTCAAAAACACAGAAAGGGAGAAAAGAAAAACATAAACAGCTGAAGAAGCACTCTGGAGTAATTCCAAGATTGTTGGAAGCAAAAAGAGCTAGAGAAAAATACAGTATATAATAAAAGGAAAAGAAAAGATTAATCTACAATATATCTTACCAAGATTTGCAAATGGGTCGCTCGGAACTTACTGTATAAATCCTCAATATCCATTTTGGGCCGTTTTATTATTGAAAAAAGGGGATAAAAATGGGGTCTTAACTAAAAATATGAGAAGTGTGTGTATACACAATTACAGAAATGTGGTGGGAATATATACAAGAAAAAGACGTGCATGGAATGAACGGCGAATAATAATATAAGTAGGTAACGTGAAACACGAGATAGACAAGATCTACATCAATGTAACCAAAATCTGATTTGATTAAAGCAACTTCTTTAGAGTTTAGACTTTTAAGGTAGTTTTACCAACAGCTAACTATTCGATATGATTGTAACATACTCATTGATTGAGTTAAAGTCCATTGCACTATTTAATAAATATTGACTGGTAATCTAGAATAAATAGGTAATACGTAATATGTTATAAATTATGTTATGTATAAATTTTCTATATCGTCAGTACATATAACTTATATGCTTATTGATATCTGATCTAAGACGGATCCACTATTTAAATTTGATTGATTCTATCTTTTAATCTTTACTAATATTTGATCCGGTGAACTTATACAGGAAAGCTCGCGAACTTTTGGATGCTCCATTATTGACATTTCTCGGTAGTTTCCTTAGTTGTCTTTTTGTAATCCGAGCAGTTGTGTATTGGTTTCATCAACTTTCGTTTGTTAACTAGTCGGAGCTAGCATTAGAGTTATGGGTTTGATAGAGTACAATAACTTCGGTTCAAACTTTGGTTTAAAGATATAATTTTTATTCTTTAGATATTCTCATCCTATATTGCTTATACGCATGTTCTTATTTCATACTCCCTCCGGTTCACAATAAGTGATCAATTTGCATCGGGCACACCCATTAAAAAAATACTAAATTCTAGACAAAAATAGTTAGTGTGACCAGTGTTTTAAAAGGCGTGGGCGTAAGGCGGGGCGTTTTACATATGCCTCAGCGGGGCGTAAGCCCCATAGGTATTTAATTTTTAATATTCTATAAAATAATATAATGACAATTAATATTTATAAACAGGTAAAATTGCATAAAAATTGAAGAAAACTATATATATGTGTGCTCCATCCCCACAAAAAAAATAATCAAAACAATCTATTATACGTTACTTACAAGCACAAGTAATTTGAGTCTAAACGAATAAAGTTTTCTATATGGAGTAACAAAAAGGATGATTAACCTGCAATTTGAACTTTGAATTTGCTGTTATGAAGAAAAATGTAGTTCTCTTTGTATTTGTAAAAAAATTAAATATTCGATGCTTTTGGGAGATATTAGCATACTAGCGGATAAGATAAAAATTTAAAAAAATTATGAATTAGGGCTTAAATCAATAAAAAAAGGTCTTTACTTTTAAATTTAATACTTTGAGTTCCTTTTTAAACCTTTTGAGTAATTACCAAACTCACTTTTGAGAATTTGGGTATTATATGAAGGACTAATTCAATAAATTTTATTTTAATTTGAAAAAGTCTCTGAGGCTTACTCCTTACTAAAAAAATGCGCCCCGAACGCCCGAGCGTACGCCCCAAATTGCGGGGAGTACGCCTCTTGAGACTTTCGCCCCACACCATCGCCCCGGGGCATTTTTGGTACGCCTTGCCCCGGGGCTCGTCCCGGAAACGCCTTTTAAAATAGAGAGTGTGACTAAACTACCCTTAATTAAATGTTGCAGCATAGTTAATGTGAGGAGTAAAAGACTTTTTAGGGATACGTACATAAGGTTAATTTTGGAAAAATAAATTGAATTTTTTCTTGATTATATAAATGGACACTTATTTTAGACCAAAATAAAAAAGCAAATTGGTTACTTATTGTGGACCGGAGGGAGTATATAACTAGTATATTTCTCATACTCTACGGTCTATTTGAGAGTGTGCTGATCTAATTTAACCATGGCAGAGATAGGAAAATGTTGCCGAATATAAAGATGGAAATAGGGGTCATTTATCATCTACATATCTGGCGCTCTATTCAGGATTTGACGGAGATATAAATAAAAAATATCCCCAGCAGCAACCTCACAACCTGGTAGTCAACATAACAAATATTCATATTTGTCGATATGTTACTGCTTGGTTACTAAAATCATCATAGATTATTAATACATGCATTCCATTATCAATGTAAATATTCCCCCATTGCACAAATATGAAGATATGGTATATAAAGTAGCTTTAAATTATATAAGATACATTGCATATTTAATTGGCATAAAAGATTTAGCGGGATTTGAACATGAGTCTCCAAGATTTGCATTCACTTCATTTATCACTAGGTCGAATCCTTGGGTGCTAGTGAAACACCTAATATTATGTGACATTTAAGAGCACATTATGTTTCTGGGGGTTATAATGCAAATTAAACCAATGATTACCTCCAGATTGTGATGACCCGATAGGTCATCTTTAATTGTAACCTTCATTTCTGTGTTTCGAGACCTCGAATAGCTCCATTCAGCCTTTCTCGATTTGCGGGCGCAGTTCATATCTTTTTGCAGAAGGTTCTTATGAGAAAATTGATGAAAATGTGAAATCGTGCCTTAAAAACTCATTTGAGTTGACTTCAATTAATGTTTTATTTAAATGGACCCAGATCAGTATTTTGAAGGTTCTGATGGGTCCATGACGTGATTTGGAACTTGAGCGTATGCCCAGAATCAAATTCGGAAGTTCCTAGCTTGATTTAACGCCATTTGTCGAAAACTAGATTTTTAAGGGTTTAAAGAATTTCTAAATTTGGCCATAATTGGATTTTTATTGATATCGGGTCCCAATATAGATTCTGAGAGTTTGAACAGTTTCATAATAATATTTATGACTTGTGTGCAAAATTTGAAGTTATTCCGAGGTGCGTAGACACGTTTTCCGTTAGTTTTTAAAAAATTAAGAGTTTTGATTTTATAAAGCTCGAATTTGTAAAGTTTGGCATGAGTTTGACTTTATGGTTAACGGGCCCGAAATTTGGTTTTGAAAGTTTGTATAAGTCCATTTTGCTATTTGAAACTTGTCTGCAAAATTTGGCGCGATTCGGAGTTGATTTGATATGATTCGGACGCTTGGTTGAAAATTTTGAAGTTCTTGAAATTTTTTTGAAAATCCATGCGTTTTGGCATTCAATTCTAAATTCGAGGTGTTATTTTGGTATTTTAATTGCGCAAGCGAGTTCGTATCATATTTTAGGACCTGTGTGTATGTTTGGTCGAGGTCCCGAGAGGTTCGGGCGAGTTTTGAATAAGTTTGAGCAATTCGGCACTTTGGGCCGCAGAACCTCGAATCTGCAGACTTGTTAGTCTGATTTCGTAAACTTATATATTTTAATCTATAAGGAATTTGGAGATGATCCAAAAATGTAAATTGTATCTCTTTGAGTCTAATTTTCAGAAAGTTAAACCATTCATCATTTGGATATTTGTATAGAAAATTATGGTCGATTTACTAAAAATTGGTACTGCAATTTCTTCTTAGAAAACTGCTGAAGCAGGCCGCCTCTTTAAAATGCGACCTGCCTGGAAATAAGTTGCCTGGGCATCTTAAAAATGCATTTCAGCTTCTTTTCTTCATTTTTTTAAAAAACTAGTCCGAGAGTGAGCGATATTTGAAGGGTTCTTCACGTGTTTGTTTGGGATTTGAGTCGTCCGGAAGTTGTTTCACACGAGAAGGCCAATTTAGAGTGTCGATCTACCTTCTTTGATGTAAGTATCTTACCTAACTTTGTGTGGGGGAAATACCCCTTAGAATTTGAGATATTTGTACTAATTGTGTCATGTGAAGACCGTGTACGCGAAGTGACGAGTACGTACTCGGGCTTAATTATGGAAATTTGACCGTTTAGGACCCTTAGGTTCTTATGTTCATTAGTTATGAAGTTGTTTTATCATGTTAAATCCTCCATTTACTAAATTTACCCTTACGTGTCTTATTTAGAATTAATTGATTTATGTTTTACCTTTTTTGTCGATTGAACTCTTATATGCCTTAAGTGAAGTTATTGCCTCTTTATTGCCATGCTATCTTTTCCGTAGTTGCTTGTCCTTAATTGAAGTTATTATTATTTTTTTCGTAATTGCTTATCCTTAATTGAAGTTATTATTATCTTTTCTGTAATTGCTTATCCTTAATTGAATTTGTTGTTATCTCTTCCGTAGTTGCTCAACCCTAAATGAAGTTTTGTTATCCCTTTTCATTGTTGACTCATCCTTATTTGGAATCACTGTTACACATTATCTCTGTATTTTTGAACTATTCTTGTTGAGACCATTATTCCCTATTGTGTCTTTCTTTGTGAGCTCATTCTTCCGTTTCTTTGTGTTCTGAAGTTTTTGTGTTGATTTACTTGCCGTATTCTCGTGCTATTGTTGTTGTTTCTGTTGTACTCAGTGTTATTGAGTCGAGGGCTATGCGTGGTTGTGGTATTGAAATTGTTTCTGAAAATGTTGTGGTATATGGGCATATGTTGTGAAAGTTATTTTATTGTGTTGTTATGTTTTGACACACGTGGTATTGTTGTGAGGATTGTCGGGGTGTTCGCACGTGAGTTGTTCGTGCTATTGTTATATTGATTTTTGCACATGCGGTGTGACAAGGCGGGCTATATACGTGGGTTTGCACATATGGCGAGGTATGGTGGGAATATTATTATGCGCGTGTGGCGAGACAAGACGGGCATTTACTTTATTGTTGTGCACGTGGCGAGACAAAGCGGGCTATGTCGGAAAAAGATTTGTGATGACTTGTGATGGCCTGGGGGCATTGCTATTGTTGATATTTGTGTAATGGTGTACCTACCTTGTGTGAGTTGTATCGTGTACATTTTGGGGTGATTGTTTCTTATGTGTCATTCATTGTCTCTACTCTTGCTTGTTGACTTGAATTATGGTAGAACACTTGCACAAGCATACACGTAAACAAATCACCCATATCGGTTTAAGAAGATGAACCCTGATGTATTTGACCATTTACATGTGCTCTCGTGTACTTGCCTTCTATGTGAGAGTTAACCTGTTGGCACGTGAGTTGACCGTGAAGTCACGAGTTATTGTTATCGTTGGCACGTGAGTGGTCCGTGCGGATGTTAGATATTGTCACTCTCTTGGCACGTGAGTCATCCGTGCAGTTATTAATTGTATTGTGAGCACAAGATGTCAAGTGATTAGGGTTCATGAATTGGGACCCGTGATTTGTGATTAGGAGGTCTCGTACCTCGTGGAAATTCTTGAATAAATCTAATGTAAAAGCGGTTATTCTTAATGAGTTGTTACTTGTTTTTCCTTTATTTGGTTTCACCGGACTTAGACTGTGTTCAGCTTACCCTGCAGCATTATTACATGTTTGCTTCTTGTTGCTAATTGTTGTTTCTAGTGTTTCATTGCGAGTATTGTTTTGTCTTCCTTACCATGCTTAGCTTTATATTAACATTGTTTCCTCGTTAGTTCACCTTCATACTTGTTCAGGTTATTTAGTCCAGTAGGTGTCTTGACTGTCCCTCGTCACTATCCACCGAGGTTAGTCTTGATACTTACTGGGTACTGCTGTGGTGTACTCATGCTACGCTTCTGCACATTTTTGTGCAGATCCAGGTATTTCGGATTTGGTTGGTCACTAGCTAGTTGTTCGGGCTTTGCTGTGGAGACTCTAGATAAACCTGTCGTCGCGTTCGCAGGCCTGGAGTCACCTTCTAATATTGTACTTGTACTGTTTATTTCTATTCCGAAACAGTTGTACTTGGAAGACTTTCTAGTAAACTCAGTATAGCTTATGACTTGTACTACCGGTTTTGAAATTGTAAGTTTTGTATAGAGATTTCTATTTAATATTTAACAATTTTTGGTTGAGTTTGCCATTAATTCAATATGTGTTGGGCTTACCTAGTCCCTAATACTAGGTGTCATCACGACATCCTTTGGGGATCGTGACACAGATTATCCAAGAGAATTGTGTGCAAATATCCAGGGAACAGACAAACAGTAGACAATCTTTTACCAGTTAAAACTAACAACAGCAAGAGCAAGAAAGAACAGAAACTTTTTCGAATATATTAATGATTCTTGCACCCCAAATACGTACAAGGTGCGCGATGCTTTAACCAATATTGATATATTTCCTCATGGCCTATAAATTACTGATTCTATTTGTACACAGCAAAAAATCTGTATAGCCGAAAGGCGGTATCATGCATTATGCGTTCATACATGTCACTGGCAAATCTTTGAATCAGCTACAACAATACAGTCAAAACTATAAATATTATTCATCAGCATCAGCAACCTCAGGCGATCACCATTTTACAGTCTTGTTTCCTCCGCCGACATCTGTGGTGCACCTTCTGTAATGTGTTCTCCCCAACCTTCTCCATCTTAGAAAGTGCTGTTAGTACAAGAGAGAAAAGGAACAAGTTAGCAGTAAAGTAAACAGAATAGGAGAACTTTTATACTCTCTTTTTTTCCTTTAGAAAGAAGTGGGCTTATACTCAATTAGCCATGATTACAAACATAAGCATGACATTAGCAAGACTGCCTAAGAATCCTTTCAGAAGCTTGTCTAACAAATTAGGCTGGCAAATAGTGGTCAACTAATTCTAGTCCAAGTAGCCATCCCATCTGTTGAGATTTCAACAAAAAGAGTCTGCTTATAGGAAAAATGGAGAAACCGGTAAAGATCCAGCTTATTTACATGGTCATTCTACATTTAGTAAAGGCATCCTTGAGCATACAACAAAATGGTAACACTGTGCCTTCACAAGCTACAAACCCCCCACCCCACCCCGCACCATTCTTTCAATTTTCTTTCACCGTGATTACCAGCATTTAACTTTTACTTTTTAATAAGGTAAATTTAATAACGGAAATAGTACCAAGTAGGTAACAAGAGGGAGTACACCATGATCACCAGCGTTTATGCCGAGAAATACAGACAAATCATTACCTAGAACCAGTAAGATAAATTTACATCAACAATATAAAAGGAAAAGGAGATCACGACGTTATATCTGGTTCCTTCTACCAGAAGAAACTGAAAGAATTTGGTTCAAAGGCCAGCCAAAGGGGGGAGTACAAAAGGAAAAGAAGTAACGAGAGAGAGAGAGAGAGAAATCCAGATGCTGATTATGTTAGATTTAGTAATCGCGAGGACATGATTAAGCCCCAGAACTCAGTGAAGGACCACCCATCACCAATTAGATTTTCCGTGATATAACTCCACCTATATATAGATCTTTGAGAAATCAAAGGAATTGAAAGGCGTCAACTTTACTTACTTCCGCAATGAACGACACAATACCTCCTCATGCTTCACTATCATTTTTTCCCCTTTCCACCCCCCTACTCAAGAGTCAAGGTTAATGAGTATATATAAGTAAGAGCCACCAGTAAAATAGAGCATGTGGGTAATTATGTCACACGGAAAGTGAATATATAGGATAGTTTACACACATGATTTGGAACAAATTTGTTAATAGGAAGTAAGTGAAAGACTATAACATTTACAAATGGAATTCCTATCAATTAGAAAATAGTCTTCCTGCTTGTCACCATACAGAAATAAGACCACTTTTCAGGAAAGCAAGAATAGGAAGAGCAGACTGTCCTCAGACTATATTAAACAAAAATTAAGTTGGAAATCACAGACAGGTAGAAGAAAAAACGTTGTGTAAGTAAAGCAACCTTGAGCTTTAAGACATACACAAGCAAATCTCTACAGTTTGCCCATACTTTACTTAATCAGAAAATTAAGTGAAACTTGAGACAATTCCACGACATACTTCTATCTCAACTCCTAAAACCAAGTTTAATCCTCCGTCCCAATCTTTGGATAAGTGCCATGTACATTTATAAGTCGTAGTTTCATCTATCAGCCATTAGAAGTCCATCATTTACATATCCAAATTTCCCCTCAGTTTATGTTTACCGACTTCCACACCCTCTCCTCTCTCAATGTTCTTTCAAATACCGTCACCGATAAAACAATATATCAGCCCCAAGATGAATGAAAATGTGAATGAATTAAGATCAATAGTTCTGGCACAAGTTTGTCAGACTACTTCTTTCATTCCAACTTGCAGTACTGTAGTAGTGTTCTATAGGCAGGGTATAGCTTCTGTTGGCGAGCAGAATCATGATATATAAATCTTCCACAGAGAAACTATATGTATTGCACACGAAAAGAATGGTTATGAATTTTTTTTTTAAAAATTAAAATAAAAAATCCTGTAATATTATCTTATAGGAGTTCATTGCTCCCCAAAAATAGGAGCTATTTGCATTTTCTTTTTCTGAGGCTATAAGGCAGCCGTCTAAGATTTGGGACAGGATGAAACTGACTTGCCCGGCAGAATATTTTAACCACTAACTCTTTAAGCTACATCATTCTATATAAAGTCCATCTTGATAGACAGAAGATTCCACCAATCATGACAACATCCATTTGAGACAAAGCTTGACATTTCAATGAAAAATTAACTTGCATTGGCTTTACATTGACTAGACTAAATCACATTGAGCACTTCAACCTCTCTTTTCTTTCTCATTTTCTTTTCCCAAAATGACCATTTAAATGTTTGTCTCAAAAGGCAAATACTTTAAGGAAATCTATGTACAATTCAATAGTCAATGCAACAGGCCTAAATGAAGCTAAATAGATATGGATCAACGCTTATTGCATATTTGAAGAACATGAACCGCCAAATGCAGATTACAGGATATACCTCCAAATTCGTCGCCCCAGAAAGTGGGGTTAGTTTCTTTCCCTTTTTTCTTGCACATTGACTGCTTAAATGCTTATTTTAAACGACAAATTATTTAGTATTGAAATGAAACGGATCCGAAATGGTGCAAAATCTAGATAGAGGATTCATATAGCTAACCCCAACATTAAGTCTTAATTGCATAATTCAAGACAATGGAACTACAAATGCATATTGCAGAGTATACATATACCTCCAAATTCGTCGCCCCATAATGAGAACCGCTGCTGATCATCTTCTTCTTCATCAAACTCATCACCATATCCAAACTCCGCATCCCCTCTATAACCCGGTTCACTCCCATACCCTGATTCATTCCCCAATCCCTCAAAACTCCCAATTTGTCCCCCGAACAAACCATTCAAATTATTCTCTCTCTCACTAACCCCACCACTTTCTTTCTCTCTCTTCAAATTCCTAGTAACCTCACTAACATCCAATGTCCAATTCATATCCCCATTTACAAATAACTCTCCACTAGAATCAGTCCCAACAGCTACAGGAAAATCAGAACAAGTCCCATAAGCCGCTGATGCTCCAACAGAGCAACAACGGCGTGGGCGATGGGTCCCGCTCCGATCACTGCTCCTCCCGGAAACAGAGCGGGACCCACGCCGCCTCCTTTTACCGGCTATCAAATGGAGATTATTTTTATTTTTCTCCCGTTTGTTAGCCGATAAAGGACGATCATCATCAAATAAGCTCAACTTCGACATGTCTAGGGTTTCAATCGGGATCGAAGTAGCTCGATCCGCTCTACATTGGCGCTTAGTGTGTAGTGCAGAGTAAGGTTTTGGTGAATCGGAGGAATCTAGGGTTTTGGGATTAGGGTTTGGGAGCTGAAAGGGCTTCCATGAATGGAGATGATACGTACAGGATTCAATGGTGTGACGTGAATCTAGGGTTTTTGGTGACATTGCAGCTTCAGGAACACACACACTACAGGCTATGTGTAGTTTGTTTATTCACACTTTCTTTATAAATGTACGGTTCGAGTCGGCTAATGAACAATAATTTATATAACTCCCTATGCACACAATAATTTATATAACTCGCATAAATCATGTACAGCAGCTAAATAAATGAATAGGAAATAATTGAATATGGATTGTTGAAGAACAAGAGGAGTGGATATTTGTGGAGTAGACAATTTGGTATCAATTTTCCAGAAGCATCTATGGATAATTGGTTTGTTGTCTTTATTATATTCGCACAATCAAAATCACGAAAAGATCCCCGCTTTTTTATTTCAGTTTCAGCCACTAGTTTTCTAGTCTACTAGTAGGAGACATGACACGTGGCAATATTTTACTTGTTGTAGTTTTTAATTTGAATGTACACCGTGTAAATAATCTTTACATAATTAAATCGCGTATAAAATAATTTCAAGTTAATTTTTATAACAAATATTATTAAGTAATACTAGTAGTAATATTGTAGCTAATTCGTTATTTCAGCCACTAGTTTTCTACTCAAGTAGGAGACAAGACACATGGCAATATGTTGTTTTATCTATTTTTCGTGTATATTGTATCTGAAGTTCATTAAGTTTGATTAATTCAGATTTTTGTATAATATGGTAAATATGAAATTGTAAAGTGTTTTGTGTTAAAAGATTTTAAATTTTCTTGCTCGAGTTTAATTTTTTAAAATAAAAGTAAAGAAATTCTAACTTTTTCTGCCGCACCCCTCAGTGATCAATAATTATTGATGTCAAAACGAAAAAGACGAAAAAAAAAACGGAAAAGACAAATTATTATCTTAGGTGAGATAGTTTACAAATTGTCATTTGAACCTTACTGTTAGTGTGATAATCTAAAATTACACTAATTTTTTGTTTTAGATCTTTGCTGTCTACTAAGGATTTCCCCTTATATAAATTACGTGGAAAATATACAACTAATCATTTCAAAACAACAGAAATAACGCAAAGAAAGTAAAATATTAACTATTACCAGGTTATTATTTGAATAATTGTTTATACTGGTATTTAATGTTTACCAATACTAATTTTTGGCGTTTTCCTTTGATCTTGTCGATCTCTTCTCTATGAAAAATGGCAAAATATTTTAGACACATAAAGAGCAAGGTAAAAATAAAGTACATTGTATAGAAAATCACACACAATAGTGCTCCCTCCTATTAAAAAAAGATTGTCTTAGTTTGACTTGGCACAAACTATAATAAAGAGGGGAAGACTTTTGAGATATGTGATCTTAAATATGTCATAACATTTGTGTGACTAAAACTTTTGTTGTCTGAAATTTGCCTTAGCATTTGTGTGGCTATAAATGCTTCTTATTAAGAAAATAGTGAAATATGCCAATCTTTTTTAAACAGACTAATAAGGAAATAGAATCAATCTTTTTGAAATAGAGAAAGTAAAAATTTGGCTAATTTCAAACAGTAATTCTGGTAACATTTATCTACTAAGTTAAAGAAAAAAGATGACCAAGCCAAGACTCAGGAGGGTAACTTATCATAAGCACTAAAATCAAGTTCACGGTTAATTGTCATAACAAAAGATAACAATAATTAAAGAAATATAATTTGATTTAACAATTTAAAATACTTCATTAGCCAATAAGCAAACCGTTGCAGGAGTTTAACCAACGTCATCTTTTATCCCCACAAATAATTAGATGGCTAATCTGCTTTTCTCGCGTTCAAGGATTACTAGTGCACTTCATCCATCTCCCCCCGGCCAAACACACACACACACACAGATGCCTAATATAACAGTAAAACCTGATCAAGATGAAGGAATTCTCTGCAACTTAAGCATTTTTGGATGTCAAAAGGAACCTTCTCTTCACACTGTTCTACGCGAATTTGCATATAATTTAACTCCCCGCACTGCACGTCATTCTGGAGCTAATCTTGTATCTAAATAACCTTATTTTTATTTTGGCTAAGGAGTGTTGCAAAATCACGAGACTGGACATCTACAGGCGGATGCAGCGAGAAAACATACGAGACAGGCTTCGACTGCAGCATTGGCTTTCTGGCATTAATCTCATCAAACAATTCTCCCAAGTTCTGTTCATCAAATAGGAATGACTCCCTGAGAAAAAAACAGCATTCCCTTGCCAGCTTTTCCACCTGAAGCAACAGTCTCAAATGTTCAATTCAATGAAATAAAGGGGAAAATAATCTGAATCAGCAAAGCATTTATGTTAGCAACAGGTGGGATTTAGGACTCGGACGAATAGAAGGAGAGAACTATTTGCAGCATTAAAAGAAATAGGGAAGGGGATTAAAATGTATAAGGAGATAATATTACATAAGTTGTTAAACATTTTTAGAGCATGGAAGCTGTCAAGGTGCATGTCTGCCTGATAGGCAGTTTTCATCAAAGAAAAAGTTCTAACAAAGTCAAGAGCCTCAGCCAATAGAAAAGAGCAGAAAACATTTTTATTTTTTTCAGAAGTGATTCTCAAACATTCTCTTCGACAACCTACAATATGATAAAGCAACAACATATTAGTATGTGTTTATATAGCGTAAATGCACGCCAAGCGACAAAATATCATATAGCTTCACAGCAAGTCCTATTTTATTTATCAGTAGACATAAACGTAATACCATTCCATTCATTTCTCATTGCAGATGCTTAAAACATCAAGCAGCTCCACAAATACAAAGCATACTTTAATGTCAACTTTCAAAAGCTCAGTTGTTACTAACTTTTAGATATAGATTTTGTAATCCCCCCCCCCCCCCCCCC